AACCGTCGTATCTTTTATTTCATTTAAAGAGGAGAGTGCAAGGGATTCGTAAGTTGTAGTGCATTGGAGCTGTGACCGTATATTTGTAAGAATAAGTCCTCGGAGCATTTCCCTGCGACCCCAATGAATTCTTGTTGAGCTTTCGACCGTCGTGTGATGTACATCGTCAAAGCAACACACCATTCTTAACGATAATTCACTAAAACACGCTTTTCAACAAGCATGTATGAAAAACGTAGGATATCCGACCAGATCATGAGATGACTCATTAAGTGGACCAAGTTAGACTGTAAGAAGTAGATAGATTTGCAGCCGGCCAGCTTTCTTGTCTTCGTGTTTGATGAATTAACATTAGACATGGTGTCGTACTCTGATAAAATCCGTTACCCTACGGACGAAAGCTCAAAAACGATTCATCGGGGTCGCAGGCCTAATTCACACAAATCTAGTCATAACTCCGAGGCGATCCCCCTACAGCTTCCGGTGGGGCCAACTTACGAATCCCTACCACTCGCCTCTTCAGACGAAATGAAGGGAACTCCAAAATCAATTAAAGATTCTGCCGTGACAGGCTACCGAATCTGAAGAAAATATTGGTCTACTATATTGATTGATGATTTGATAACAATGAGAATATATCCTGTATTGCATGTAAACCAATGATGCTAAGTATAAAAATTCGCCTTACAACTCAATTCCCATCATAGAAATTCCATTTTTATAAACAAGTATCCCTCATTCCTTAACGCCTTTATAATTTCCATTAGCCACTAAGTACATCACGCATAGTTATATGCATATATTTTATTGTGGCATTAAATTTAATAAATTCTCTTCAATTGACGCTAATAGAAAACTAAGTAATGTTCGCGCGCTCTCAACGTTAGCTTCATCAGCCATTGAGACTGACTCAAACCATGGAGGACGTAACCGAAAGAAGGCTAAATAGGATATGAGAGAGAGAGTTCTAGTATCACTGATATAGTGGGTAGTGAAAACATGAAATATCAATAAAACATGGATAATAAAGGATGTAATAGAGGGTACATTAGCAGACAGGAGACGGAGCTGAATATAACAAAAGGATATAGCACAACACAGAAAATAGTAAAGAATCACCCCCTAATTCATTTTTAACCAGTTATCAAATAACATGATTACTAAGCTGTATAGGAGACTGATTAGATGTATGCTCATAGTAATTAAGTGAACGTGCCAGTGTAAGAAAGGGATGGAATTCAAGCCATATTACAATTATGCTAAGTTGAATAAAATCTACATAACACAGAAAATGTGGTTGCGGCAGAGAATTGCAAAATTGATTTTATCAGGGTCATATATTATTCAGTTCCAGTTATGGATTAGTCAAGGCTCTAGAGCAAAGATTCTCAGACTGAGGATCGTGAATGCATTCCAGTCTAGGAAATCTCCGAAATAAAAATAATTCTTATTAGAGTAGGAAAATAAC